AAAAAAAAAAAGACAGCGGTTAAAAAGCCTCCAAAAAGAAAAAAGAAAAAAAAAGGCTTTTGGCTCTATTTTAATACTATCCTGGAGTTCAGCTTCAAATGAACACGTTAAAAAAAAAAAAAAAAAAAAAAAAAAAAGGGTATTTATTAAAATTATTTACCAAATAAAAGTATTCTATATTTCACTAATGAGGTATACAAAATAATCAGGTCATGTGAACACTGCTATACATAGGCATCAGGGAGCTCTGGCCATGTAGGGGTTGAGGTGTGCAGAAAATGCCGGTCACACTTACTGGATCCTCTCCAGGATGAGGCAATACAGCATTTTAGCAGTCAGGTTGTGGCGCGGCACAGAGACCAACAAGGGCTGTCCAAACAGGATAGTTCCAGTAGAGGTGCTCTGACGGTAACGTCTTTCACGGAAGCAGATGGGCAGTGAGATCCATTCCGAGTCGTCGCTCCGAGAAGACTTCACTTCATACCTGAAAATACAACAAAAGTCAAAACAGAACAGAGGAAGACACCAATGCTACCCCCAGTAGCCCCGCACTGGCCAATACCACCAGCGGCCCCGCACTGGCCAATACCACCATACCAATAACCAGCGGCCCCGCGCTGGCCAATATTACCCCCAGCGGCCAATAATACCCCCGCTCTGGCCAATATTACCCCCAGCGGCCCCGCTCTGGCCAATATTACCCCCAGCAGGCCCCGCTCTGGCCAATATTACCCCCAGCAGGCCCCGCTCTGGCCAATATTACCCCCAGCAGGCCCCGCTCTGGCCAATATTACCCCCAGCAGGCCCCGCTCTGGCCAATATTACCCCCAGCAGGCCCCGCTCTGGCCAATATTACCCCCAGCAGGCCCCGCGCTGGCCAATATTACCCCCCAGCAGGCCCCGCTCTGGCCAATATTACCCCCAGCAGGCCCCGCTCTGGCCAATATTACCCCCAGCAGGCCAATACATACCATACCCCCGCGCTGGCCAATATTACCCCCAGCCAGCTGGCCCCGCTCTGGCCAATATTACCCCCAGCAGGCCCCGCTCTGGCCAATATTACCCCCAGCAGGCCCCGCTCTGGCCAATATTACCCCCAGCAGGCCCCGCTCTGGCCAATATTACCCCCAGCGGCCCCGCTCTGGCCAATATTACCCCCAGCAGGCCCCGCTCTGGCCAATATTACCCCCAGCAGGCCCCGCTCTGGCCAATATTACCCCCAGCAGGCCCCGCTCTGGCCAATATTACCCCCCAGCAGGCCCCGCTCTGGCCAATATTACCCCCAGCAGGCCCCGCTCTGGCCAATATTACCCCCAGCAGGCCCCGCTCTGGCCAATATTACCCCCAGCAGGCCCCGCTCTGGCCAATATTACCCCCAGCAGGCCCCGCTCTGGCCAATATTACCCCCAGCAGGCCACCGCTCTGGCCAATATTACCCCCAGCAGGCCCCGCTCTGGCCAATATTACCCCCAGCAGGCCCTGCTCTGGCCAATATTACCCCCAGCGTGCCCCCGCTCTGGCCAATATTACCCCCAGCGGCCCCGCTCTGGCCAATACAACCCCCCCCTTGGCCCCCCGCGCTGGCCAATACAACGCTCCTGCAGCCCTGCGTTGGCCAATACAACCCGGCCCCGCGCTAACCAATACAACCCCTCCCTGTGGCCCTGCTCTGGCCAATAAAATCCCTCCCTGCGGCCCCACGCTGGCCAACACAACACCTCCCTGCGGCCCTGCGCTGGCCAACTCAACCCTCCCGCGGCCCCCGTGCTGGACAATATAACCCCCCGTGGCAGCCAATACTACCACCCCACGGCCACGCGCTGGCCATACAAAAACTGAAATCAGCCCACTGAAATCTTGGTCATTCTGCCACGAAGATCTTTGCTTAAGCATTTACTGTTATAGGGCGACAACACTGTTCCAACTTTGCTCCTGCATGGTCACCGTGTCACATGGCCTTCTGATGGCGACAACAAGCGGCCATTTTAACGAACATTAGGCTATTATCGCACTGCTCCATTGAAAAAAATACATCCTAAACCTAAATGAGTTTGTGTTGCATTTTTCCCCACTGGACAAAGCGCTTCCCACAGATGTGGTTCCCTTTCACTTCAATGGGGAGGTGAGTTTTTTTTTTTTAACTGACCAAATATACCCCAAACACATGGCCAGCAGGAATGTTTACACCACAACGGAAGTGCAACACACCAGTGTGAAGACATACATGGGATTTAAAGGGAAGCATTTTTCTTTAGCTTTTCTGGCACTTATTTTTTTTTTTTTTTTTTCAAAAGCACCTCAAAAACGGTTCAGTGTGAAAGCCGCCTTACAGAGGCATGGTACGCCGTTGTCACCATCAGGAAACCCGTCCTGAGAGACGTCATGCACCAAAAAGGGGAGGGATGGCGGCTCCCCCACCCTCGGTCCACACTTACACAAAGAGGTCGTCCCGCTCCATGATGTGGCTCAGCATTTCATCCATCTGGAAGATCTTGTGAAAACGGTGATTGTAGACATCCGTCACCACCATCTGTGAATCGGACAAACGCAGGGCGATAATGTCATTAGGGCTCAGAAAAGAAGACAACCGCCTCCTGTCTCCTACCGACACATTCTGCCCCCTACTGGGGAGTATGGAAGAGGCTCTATGATCAAGTAGGGGAGAAATTTGTCATCCGGAGGCATAGTGGTGGTCCTTATTTCCATTGAGTTATTTTTAAGCTATTGAGGCTACCGGCTTAACCACCTTCCATCCGGCCATTGTATATAAACGGCCGGACGGTGGCAGTGCAGGGTCGAGTGGCTGTTTATAAACGGCCTGCCCGCCTCCTGCTTGTGCACACTCCCTGGGAGCGCGCAGCACCGCGATTTGGTGCCCGCTGTGTCCTCAGGACACAGTGGAACACCGATTGTCATACGTGACCTGTGTGCGAGGTCCCGATCATGTGATCACTGATTGGCCAATCAATGATCACATGCAGAGTAGTAAGCAAGATGTCACGTCTGACATCATTGCAAACTACGTGTGAAATCTGTGAATGATCACAGAGATCACATGGTACAGGGATATTCACAACAGGCTTGTACCATGTGACAAGCTGTGACCAATTACAGCTCACACAGTAGTTCTCAATGGCTGCAAGAATGGAGACAGAGAGAAGGAGAAATTATTGCTTTTACAGCCTTTGTGGGTGTAAAAGCAATCAGTATATAAAAAAAAAAAAATCATCACCCCCCCACAAGTAGTACAGTGTCACCATGGTGACACTACGAAAAAAAAAAAAACACACAAAAAAAAAAAATAAAAATGTAAAAAAAAAGTGTAAAAATGATAATTTTTGGTTATAAACTAATTTGGGTTATTTTTTTTTTTACTAAAACGATAACAGAATAAATTTTGGCCAAGATTTATGATGAAATATTATTTGAAAAATTTTATTAAAAACATTTTTTAAATTTTTGGACATTTTCATTTACATAGCAAAAAAAAAAATCCCAGCGGTGAATAAATACACCAAAATAAAGCTTTATCTGTCTCAAAAAAAAATGCTAAAAAATTCACACGGGTACAGTGTTGCATGACCGCGCAATTGTCATTCAAAGTGTGATAGTGCTGAAAGCTGAAAATTGGCCTGGACAGAAGGGGAGGGAAAGTGTCCGGACCGGAAGGGGGAGGGGAGGGGGGGGGCGGGGGGGAGGGGGGGGGAGTGTCCGCGGATCCGGAAGGGGGGGGGGGGGGGGGAGAGTCCTGGACGGAAGGGGGGGGGGGGGGGGGGGGAAGTGTCCGGACCGGAAGGGTTGGGGGGGGGAGGGAAGTGTCGGACCGGAAGGGGGGGGGGGGGGGGGAAGTGTCCGGACCGGAAGGGGGGGGGGGGGGGGGGGAGTGTCGGACCGGTTGGAAGGGACCGGGGGGGGGGAGCGATGTGTCCGGACCGTGGGAAGGGGGGAAGGGGGGGGGGGGGGGGGGTAGGGTAGTTTGTACCGGACCGGGAAGGGGGGGGGAGGGGAGCATGAGGAGTGTCCGGACCGGAAGGGGGGGGGGAGTGTCCAGGCTGGAAGGGGGGGGGGGGGGGGACAGTGAGTGTCCAGGCTGGAAGGGGGGGGGGGGGGGGGGGGGGAGTGTCCAGGCTGGAAGGGGGGCGGGGGGGGGGGAGTGTCCAGGCTCGATCGGGAGGGGGGGGGGGGGGAAGTAGAGGGTGTCCAGGCTCGAAGGGGGGGGGGGGGGGGGGAGTGTCCAGGCTCGAAGGGGGGGGGGGGGGGGGGGAGTGTCCAGGCTCGAAGGGGGGGGGGGGGGGGGGTGAGGTGTCCAGGCTGGAAGGGGGGGGGGGGGAAGGGTGTCCAGGCTGAAGGGGGGGGGGGGGGGAAGGTTTGTCCAGGCTGGAAAGGGGGGGGGGGGGGGAAGGTGTCCAGGGCTGGAAAGGTGGGGGGGGGGGGGGGAAGGTGTCCAGGCTGGAAGGGGGGGGGAGGGGAGTGTCCAGGCTGGAAGGGGGGGGGGGGGGGGAAGTGTCCGGGCTGGAAGTGGTTAACATCTGTACTGATGAAATGGGACAGGAGAGGCAGCGCCCATACATTAAGGACGAAGAGTGATACTCACATTTTCTGCATGGAAATCTTCTGACAGTTTAGACAGAGCTGCACACAGGTCAGAGACTGTCCCCATTTTAGGCACAACCAATCGGAAAACTGAAAGACAACAAGACGGGGCATTTGGTTAACCATCAGCACAGAAGTGGGGACATTCTCTCATTTGCCCAGGGAAGGTCCCCCCTCACCTGGGTGGGCTCCTTGCACTGCGGGTCACCGCGGACAGGGAAAACCTCCATGGGTGCGATCTTTCCTCATAGGGAGTGGGAGGGTGAGATAGCAGAAGGGATCAAAGGTCACTGAGACTTTGGCGCATTCAGGGCACACCAGCGTTAGATTTGAAAAGGCCGTGAAAAAATGTCTACAATGATAGAATGATTCCTCCGCAGGTGATTGTCCCATGCTTCTTTGGCTACAACCTAAAGCATAGGAAGCAATGCACAACTGTAAAATTCCCTGGAAGGAAGGAGCGCCGGCAGACAACGTGCACAGAATACTCCCTTACAGAGTCCGGCCGCCCGTCAGCGTCCTTCAGCTCCAGGTACGGCTTCTTCTTCACTCTGTTTAGATCCTCGTGGAGGCCGTCCAAGAGGAAAAAGCCAGCAGTTCCTGGGAGTCCTGCTGCTGGTACCCGAGAGAACTGCGGGGGGCTAAAATCGACCAACTTGCGTCTAACCAGAGACAACATGCAGTTAGAACGTGGAGTCATTATACCAGAAAACAAAAGGATCAAGGCGATAAAAAAAATAAAACAAAAAACAAAACAAAAATAAAAATATAAACAAAACAAAAAAAATAGAAACAAAAAATAGAAACAAAACAAAAATAGAAACAAAAAAATAGAAACCCAAACAAAAAACACAGCTGCGAGTGTCGAACATTTAATCTCATCACAGATACAGCGACATTAGCAGGAGAATGTGCAGTGCGGAGATTTCCACCTGCCTTGAACATTCGTGGAGCCACGTAAGAATGTTCTCCAGACAGATTTGTCGGATGAGCTCGGGCGTACGCCATGGCGATCTCTCCCTTCATTCCCAGCGGATTCTCCTTGTTGATCTCGTCCTTGTAGTCGTCAGTCAGGAAGTACTCGGTTAGAGGCGGCGTGTTACTCAGGCACTGCCGAAGGAAAAACAGAAAAAGCCAAGGCTAAGGAGCTGCACTAGGAAAAGTACAAGGTAACAAAACCGATAAATGCTACGAGTCTGCTCCACAACAAAGCTTCTGGGCACCTATGTACAGGACGTGTGCCTGGCATGAAAACGAACATGTGCTTGGCATGAACGAACATGTGCCTGGCACCTGGGTGAAGTTCGAGTGTCAGCAGCTAGCCAAGCCAGTACATAGGATCTGTTCCATTTATTTTTTACTATGACGACACCTAGAGGTGAGGCCACAAATTGCACTGTGAACAACTATTCCACCGAGAGTCCCATCTGGGAACACCCTGAATACTCATTGAACAGGCCAAGGGTGTGTCCTCAGGAAAGGTCAGCACTTTATGGGGCATTCCCGTAGCCCAGAAGAAATAAGCCCTATAAGAATGGCTGGGAATTCAGGAGGTGCCGCAGCTTCTCGTGGGATTCCAGGAGGCGAGGCGCCGCAGCCGCCGATGGGATTCCAGGAGGCGACCCGCGATGGGATTCCAGGAGGCGAGGCGCCGCCGATGGGATTCCAGGAGGCGAGGCGCCGCCGATGGGATTCCAGGAGGCGAGGCGCCGCCGATGGGGATTCCAGGAGGCGAGGCGCCGCCGATGGGATTCCAGGAGGCGACCCGCCGATGGGATTCCAGGAGGCGACCCGCCGATGGGATTCCAGGAGGCGACCCGCCAATGGGATTCCAGGAGGCGACCCGCCAAGGGGATTCCAGGAGGCGACCCGCCAATGGGATTCCAGGAGGCGACCCGCCAATGGGATTCCAGGAGGCGACCCGCCAATGGGATTCCAGGAGGCGACCCGCCAATGGGATTCCAGGAGGCGACCCGCCAATGGGATTCCAGGAGGCGACCCGCCAATGGGATTCCAGGAGGCGACCCGCCAATGGGATTCCAGGAGCCGACCCGCCAATGGGATTCCAGGAGCCGACCCGCCAATGGGATTCCAGGAGCCGACCCGCCAATGGGATTCCAGGAGCCGACCCGCCAATGGGATTCCAGGAGCCGACCCGCCAATGGGATTCCAGGAGCCGACCCGCCAATGGGATTCTAGGAGCCGACCCGCCAATGGGATTCCAGGAGCCGACCCGCCAATGGGATTCCAGGAGCCGACCCGCCAATGGGATTCCAGGAGCCGACCCGCCAATGGGATTCCAGGAGGCGACCCGCCGCAGCCGCTGATGGGATTCCAGGAGGTGTGGCATTACAGCCACTGATGGGACTTGAGGAGGCGAGCCTCTGCAGCCGCTGATGGGATTCCAGGTGGTGTGGTACTGCAGCCTCTGAAGGGATTAAAGGAGGAGAGGCTCTGCAGCCTCTGCTGGGAGATATTTGGCAGAGAAAAAAAAATTGACATACCTGAAGAGCAGAGTTCATGAAACACGTATTGCCAAGATTACTGAGCCCACACAGGCCAGGCTTGCTGGAAGGCTCCCTGTAGCTGTATGACATGTAGGATGACCCATATCCCCTGGAGGAGGAGAGAAGGAATGATATTCTATGTGTAAACTGACAAACTCTTTAATCAGCTGAACATGTTATGAATTCCACCTCTTAAGGTGTTAGCAAAGTCCTTTTTTCCTTACAGGTAAACTTTATGATAAAATAAATATCTCCTAAACGTTCGCCGTTTCGGAGATATTCTATGGAGCAGTAGCCGGTGACATCACAGGAGTATGCGTTCTGAAGGAAGGGCATACCTGTGCCGTTCCTTCAGAGCTGTGTGCTGTGGCTGAGGTAGTGATGTCATCGGTGGCTCGGCCAATCAAGCAGCTGTAGCCTGCGTATCCGGAAGGAAGAAGATGGAAGCCTCTACAGCGGTGAGAGTGCCGCTGGAGGGCTACGTTCTAGGGCACGCCTTTCATTATGTGCTAGCATGCAATGCATCAAAAAAAACCTTCACAATTCCCTGCTATGGTATATATTAGAATTAAAAATGAAAGAATAAATATTCAATCTACAGGAACAGCCACAACATTGCAGGCAACAATACACATAAAATATTTATACCAAAGTGTGGCGCTTACCACACAGTTACCACCAAAAATGGGAATCACATGAATTGTACAGTTAGAAAATTCATTCATGAGTCCACTGAGAAAAATTGCAGTATATACTGTCCATAGTATATAGAGTGACTGAGAGGGGAGGGGACATTAGAGAGTAAGCTCCTCTGGTACAGAGACTGATGTGACTGTGGGGGGAGGGGGCATTAAAGTGTAAGCTCCTCTGGTACAGAGACGGATGTGACTGACTGTTCTCTGCACAGCGCTGCGGTATATGTCAGAGCTATATGATAGAACGAAATATAATAAAAGGTGTCCATTATGATCTTTTTGTATGGAAGGGGTTTCATTCATCGCAGTGGTGTTTGATAATTGCGGGGTCTTAGGCTGGCCATACATTATACAATTATCTGCAGATTTTCTGCCAAATTTCTTTTAGATTTACCTTCAACTATGTAGTGCAAGGGCCTGCCTAATTGGATACAACTGAAAGTGTTGTTTAGGTTTGTCCTCCTATTATATGGTTTTTGGTAAATCTAAACCAAAAATCTGCAGATAATTGTATAATGTATGGCCAGCCTTAGCATGTGGTGGGTTACTAGGAACATATAATTGGGGTCAGTAGACAGAAGATGACCACAGTTGTCTCCAGGATTAGAATTGCGGGTGTGCACATCCCTAGGGTGATATGTCTGAATGTGAGGACCTCTGCTGATTATATCCTGGGAACAGTCGCACAATCCTCAGCACATGTGATGTGGATATTAACCCCCTTCCGGTCCGGACGCTTCCCTCCCCTTCCCCCCCCTTCCGGTCCGGACGCTCCCCCCCCCCCTTCCAGTCCGGACGCTCCCCCCCCCCCCCCTTCCAGTCCGGACGCTTTCCCCTCCCCCGTTTCCAGTCCGGACGCTTTCCCCCTCCCCCTTCCAGTCCGGACGCTTTTCCCCTCCCCCTTCCAGTCCGGACGCTTTCCCCCCCCCCTCCCCCTTCCAGTCCGGACACTTTCCCCTCCCCCTTCCAGTCCGGACACTTTCCCCCTCCAGTCGGACACTTTCCCTCCCCCTTCCAGTCCGGACACTTTCCCCCCCCTTCCCCGGACACCCCACCCCCTTCCAGTCCGGACACTTTCCCCTCCCCCTTCCAGTCCGGACACTTTCCCCTCCCCCTTCCAGTCCGGACACTTTCCCCTCCCCCTTCCAGTCCGGACACTTTCCCCTCCCCCTTCCAGTCCGGACACTTTTCCCCCCCCCCCCTTCCAGTCCGGACACTTTCCCCTCCCCCTTCCAGTCCGGACACTTTCCCCCCCCTTCCAGTCCGGACACTTCCCCCCCCCCACCCCCCCCCCTTCCAGTCCGGACACTTCCTCCCCCCCCCCCCCCTTCCAGTCCGGACTTCAACCCCTTTCCCCCCCCCCCCCCCCTTCCAGTCCGGACACTGCCCCCCCCCCCCCCCTTCCAGTCCGGACACTTACCCCCCCCCCCCCCCCTTCCAGTCCGGACAACTTCCCCCCCCCCCCCCCCAGTCCGGACACTTCCCCCCCCCCCCCCCCCTTCCAGTCCGGACACTTCCCCCCCCCCCCCCCCCTTCCAGTCCGGACACTTTTTTCCCCTCCCCCTTCCAGTCCGGACACTTTCCCCCCCCCCCTTCCAGTCCGGACACTTTCCCCTCCCCCTTCCAGTCCGGACACTTTCCCCTCCCCCTTCCAGTCCGGACACTTTCCCCTCCCCCTTCCAGTCCGGACACTTTCCCCCCCCCCTTCCAGTCCGGACACTCCCCCCCCCCCCCCCCTTCCAGTAGGGACACTTTCCCCCCCTTCCTGTCCAGGGCAATTTTCCGCTTTCAGTGCTATCACACTTTGAATGACAATTGCGCGGTCATGCAACACTGTACCTATATGAATTTTTTTACCATTTTTTTTTTGAGACAGATAAAGCTTTATTTTGGTGGTATTTATTCACCGCTGGGATTTCTATTTTTTTTGCTATGTAAATGAAAATGTCCAAAAATTTTGAAAAAAAAAGTGTGTTTTTCTTATGAAATTTTGCAAATAATCTATCATAAATCTTGGCCGAAATGTATTCAGTTATCTTTTTAGTATAAAAAAAAATAAAAATAAGCCAAATTAGTTTATAACCAAAAGTTATAATTTTTAAACTTTTTTTTACATTTTTATTTTTTTTTTTTTTTTTTTTTTTTTTTTTTACACGCTTTATTTTGGTGGTATTTATTCACAGCTGGGATTTTTTTTTTTTTTTTTGCTATGTAAATGAAAAAGTCCCAAATTTTTGGAAAAAAGTGTATATGCAAATAAATAATATTTCATCATAAATCTTGGCCAAAATTTTTTCAGTTATCTTTTTAGTAAAAAAAGTTTATAACCAAAAAATTATAATTTTTAAACTTTTTTTTTTTACACTATTTTACGCACACATATATATATATATATATATATATATATATTTTTTTTTTTTACATACTGTCACCCTAGCAGTACAGTACCATGGTGACACTGTACTACTTGTGGGGGGTGATGATTTTTTTTTTTTTTTACAGTAATTGCTTTTACACCTATATAGGATGTAAAAACAATCATTTCTTTGTTTCTGCATTCTTGTAGCCATTGAGAACTACTGAGTGAGCTGTTATTGGTCACAGCTTGTCACATGGTACAGGACTGTTGTGAATAGCTTTGTACCATGTGACCTCTGATCATTCACAGATTTCACACGTAGTAAGCAATGATGTCACAAGTGACATCTTGCTTACTACTTTGCATGTGATCACTGATTGGCCCATCAGTGATCACATGATCGGGACCTCGCACAGAGGTCCCGTCCGACGGTCGGTGTTTCACTGTGTCCCCAAGGCAGTGCTGCAGCACGCACAGCTAGAAATGGTGGATGCCGTTTATGAACGGCAACCCGCCCCTGGAGTGCCACCGCCCTGCCGTTTATAAACGGCAGGCGGACGGCAAGTGTTTAAAATGGTAGTAGTAAACTCAAAAAAAAAAAAAAAAAAAAAAGTGCGGCGCTTCAAATACTTTAACTTAAAAGTCTAATCCACAAAATGAAGACATATAGAATAAGCCCCTCCCCTCTTCACTGGAACCTCAGTGCTGCTATAGGAGGTCTCAAAAAAATGGCCAGGAGAAGATAGAAAAGGGTCCACCATCACCAAACACTCTGCCTCTTACTAGATCATATTGCCCCCCAGTTATGGATGGGACACAAAATGCTGTATAAATTCCAAAAGGCAAGCCGCAGACCTGGACACTCTTTGGTTCCAAACTTTCACATCAAAGGGTGGGCTAGAAGATGAACCTGCAGAGGAATTATTCTCATAGAGGACAACCCCATTCTTATATGGTTTACATGATTACATGCTTGTAACGGAACCGACCCCAGACTGCACCTGGGTACTTCCGTTAGACTACTGCTTCCCCGTCCCAACACCGACCACCTCCAACCAAACAAGACACCAGTCTTGAAGTAAACCAGGAAATAGACTACTTTATTTTAACACAGATACAAGATATATACACTCAAGGGAACAATCCCCCCTCCCTGCATAATGACACAGGGCGGGGCAATCTACATTTAGTAACAAGAGACACACCAACAGACAGTCCCATCAGGAGGGAGGGCTGAAGTAGACACCCCCCCACCAAGCCAATACACAAACACATACATCCCATAATAGTTTGCACCCAATCAAGACACACAATAGAACAACGGGATGAAGCCGCATGGCATTAAACAACCCCCCCACCCCAATATTAGGACAGATCACCCTGTACCCCTAACAGGCACAGGGTGACTTACACATAAGAGGGATATGGGGAGCTGAGACAGGGGTCTCCTCACCTCTCCAAAGTGAGCTGTGTTCCATGGTCCCCCCACCCAAAGTGACTCCCGTCACAATGCGGTTTTATATTCTTGATTTATGTACGTTCATTACTATGCTTTGAGGCAATAAATTCAAATTATCTTACTACACTATGAGGATTCTGTTTTCTATTTGAATGGGGTTGTCCTCTGAGGATAATTCCTCTGCAGGTTCATCTTCTAGCCCACTCTTTGAGGTGAAAGTTTGGAACCAAAGAGTGTCCAGATCTACGGCTTGCCCTTTGGAATTTATACAGCGTTTTTTGTCCCATCCATAATTGGGGGTCAACATGATCTAGTAAGAGGCAGAGTGTTTGGTGATGGTGGACCCTTTTCTATCTTCTCCTGGCCATTTGTGAGACATCTATAGCAGCACTGAGGTTCCAGTGAAGAGGGGAGGGGCTTATTCAATATTTATTCAATTTTGTGGATTGGACATTTAAGTTCAAAAATGTTTTGAAGCGCCGCACTTTTGTATATTATAGTATGTAATGCATACTATCACATTTATATTACCTTGCAGCAGGATTTTTTCTTTTTTTTGTTGAGTTTACTACCACTTTAACCTCCCTAGCGGTCTGATTATGTCAGTATTTCTGTGCTCAAAGCGGTACATTATTTTGCATGGAAATATGTAGTTTTTTTATTGTAGGCCTGTAATTTTTAGGAATAACTCACTGAAATCTGTCCGAACAAGAGTCTAGTAAACATGCTCGGGTATGTTAAAATTTGAAACCCGAAATCATAAATTATAATTTAATAAATAATCATTAAAAAATAATTAATAATAATAAATGTAATTCAATAATATAATCAAACCAAAAACACTGAAATGTGAAATATAGCGCCAAGTTCGCACATCGCTGAGCAAAGTCGCAGAATCGTTTTCAGTGTCTGATGAGGAATTTCCCCCACCAATCATCATCACTCAATTCTGCAAATGGTTCTGATTTACTATCGCTGTTCTCTAGCCGGTCTAAAACCGCGTCTGACCTAAAGGGACGCTTTTTGGACGCCATGGACGTTTCTCAGTTTCCAGGCAGAAAGAACAATAAAAATGCAGGCAGGGGCGCCGGACAAAGCACTCGGGACAAAGTGTATGTGAAATGGGTTGATACAGGAATGTTATACTATGAGATTTTAGTGGATTTAGTGAATGTCACTTTTTCACATTTTTTAATTTCTCGCCAGTTCCGTCCCCCGTACGTCCCGACGTCGCAGAGAATGGAACCCGGAAGGCAGATGCCGGCATCCGCCGGAGCACATTGCCGGGGACACTGCAGGGGGGACATCGTGGGAGCGCAGGACAAGGTAAGTGCAGAAGAGATCCCGGGAGCAACGCTCTGCAGTGTATTCCCGAGTGTAGCTCGGGGGGTTACCGCTATGTGGTGCTGAAACTTTACCCCGAACTACACTCGGGAATACCGCCAGGGGGTTAATATTTTCATCACATGTGCAGAGGATTGTACGACTGTTCCCAGGATATAATCAGCAGAGGTCCTCACATTCAGACATATTACCCTAGGGATGTGCACATCTGCAATTCTTATCCTGGAGACAACTGTGGTCATCTTTGGTGTACTGACCCCAATTATATGTTCCTAGTAACCCACCACACTGCTAAGACCCCGCAATTATCAAACACCTCTGGAATTAATGAAAACCCCTTCCATACAAAAAGATCATAATGGACACCTTTTATTATATTTCGTTCTATCATATAGCTCTGACATATACCGCAGTGCTGTGCAGAGAACAGTCAGTCACATCAGTCTCTGTACCAGAGGAGCTTACACTCTAATGTTCCCTCCCCCTCCCAGTCACTCTATTATTTTATATAGCATGGACAGTATATAGCACCATTTTTCTTGGTGGACTCATGAATGAATTTGCTAACAATTTATGCGATTCCATTTTTGGTGGTAACAGATCTTAATCTACATACATTTTTCACAGTCACAGTACCGCCATAGAATAAATGTGAATAACTGACCCTTTCCCTAGACTGTTCAAGCCATAGCTGCTGCTGCCGCCGTCTCCATTGGTGATGGAGGTGGAGGGGGAGGATGATGATGACGACGAGGAAGCAGTAGACATGTAGCTGCTTGTTGGTGATTTCTCGGAGGTAGTGTACGTTCTACTCGTCGCTGTGCTTGACCTGTGTGGGACAGAGATCATGAAAGGTACGCAGACTCTGATATACACACCAGGCTGGGGATTATATACACAAAGAAAAATCACAAAAAAAGTGTGGCGCTCCTAACACATAATGCAACAGCAGATCAAATTTGCATAACAAGTCCTATACAACATAATATGGACCTTATCTACAAATCCGTCACATTGCTCTTTACTTCAGACACTTAGCCAGGTGAAGAGGAATTAAAACCCTTCTACTTTATAGAGCAGTTTATCTCCCACAATTCTTTGTAGACCCTTTCCAGCATAGAAGGGTCCACCTCCCACAATCCCTTGTAGACCATTTCCTGCATAGAAGGGTCCACCTTCCACAAACACTGGTAGAAGCTTTCCTGTATAGAAGGGTCTTCCTCCCACAATCCCTTGTAGACTCTTCCCTGTATAAAGGGGTCTGCCTCCCACAATCCCTTGTAGACCCTTCATAGCAGAGAGGAGTCTGCATCCCAAAATCGCTTGTAGACCCTTTCCTGCATAGAGGGGTCTGCCTCCTACAATACTTTGTAGACCCTTCCCTGCAGAGAGGGGTCCGCCTCACACAATCCCTTGTAGACCCTTCTCTGTATAGCAGGGTTCGCATCCAAAAATTGCTTGTAGACCCTTTCCTGTACAGAGGGGTCTGCCTCCCACAATCCCTTGTAGACCCTTCATAGCAGAGAGGGGTCCGCCTCCCACAATCCCTTGTAGACCCTTCCCTGTATAGAGGGGTCCACCTTCCATAATCCCTTGTAGACCCTTCCCTGTATAGAGTGGTCTGCCTCCCACAATCCCTTGTAGACCCTTCCCTGTATAGAGGGGTCTGCCTCCCACAATCCCTTGTAGACCCTTCCCTGTATAGAGGGGTCTGCCTCCCACAATCCCTTGTAGACCCTTCATAGCAGAGAGGGGTCCGCCTCCCACAATCCCTTGTAGACCCTTCCCTGTATAGAGGGGTCCACCTTCCATAATCTCTTGTAGACCCTTCTCTGTATAGAGGGGTCCACCTTCCATAATCTCTTGTAGACCCTTCTCTGTATAGAGGGGTCCACCTTCCATAATCTCTTGTAGACCCTTCTCTGTATAGAGGGTCCACCTTCCATAATCTCTTGTAGACCCTTCTCTGTATAGAGGGGTCTGCCTCCATAATCCTCTTGTAGACCCTTCTCTGTATAGAGGGGTCCACCTTCCATAATCTCTTGTAGACCCTTCCTGCAGAGAGGGGTCCACCTTCCATAATCCCTTGTAGACCCTTCCCTGTATAGAGGGATCCGCCTTCCATAATCTCTTGTAGACCCTTCTCTGTATAGAGGGGTCCCACCTTCCACAATCTCTTGTAGACCCTTCCTGTATAGAGGGGTCCGCCTCCCACAATCCCTTGTAGACCCTTTCCTGTATAGAGGGGTCCACCTTCCACAACACTGGTAGAGGTTTTCCTGTATAGAGTGGTTTGCCTCCCACAATCCCTTGTAGACCCTTCCCTGTATAGAGGGGTCCACCTTCCATAATCTCTTGTAGACCCTTCCATGTATAGAGGGGTCCACCTTCCACAATCCCTTGTAGACTCTTTCCTGTATAGAGGGGTCCACCTTCCACAACACTGGTAGAGGTTTTCCTGTATAGAGTGGTTCGCCTCCCACAATCCCTTGTAGACCCTTTTCTGTATAGAGGGGTTTGCCTCCCACAATCCTTTGTAAAGTGTAATGGGTCTCCCATCTTGCTTAGATTATCCGGCAGGCCAAAGACTGAACTGGGTAACACAGGAGCTCTGACAAGCTATAATCGCAATTCTCTGCCCCCCAGCAGGACTTGCAGTGGGCCCTTGTTGTGAAAGGGCCCATCTCAAGATGGGCAAATGTGAAGGAACAGACATACAGACACCAACTACCAGACTCTGGTAAGGACAGTCAGGGCACAATATATAGCACTGGCAGTCAATGTACAAGGCATGGGGCTTCAGCTGCTGCCCATAAAACCAGCAAGGGTATGTGTATGTAATACTACAGACTGTTAAATATTGCACACGTTATTACAGCCCCTATGCAGTTCAATGGTGGCACCTCCACTAAAGACTGCTTGGGTTCAAGGGCCACACAAGTACCAATGGGTCGCAGGCTGGATATCAAGGATGTGTAGGTTGCTCCTAGAGGGTGAAGAGTAGCATGCAAGACACTCACTTTGTTTGAGACTGTCTAGGCCACGTGCCATCTGCGTTCCTCTGTTCTATGACCAGGACCTGTAGAAGATAAAAAGACAAAAAAGTCACAACCCCAACTTTAAACAAAAACACTGGACCGAACCGCTCCCCACCTCCCTCAGCCCATCACAACCCTAGACAGGGACAATGGTGGCACAGCAAACCCTTCTCCTCCCATCAAACCGCCAGACAAAGACGCTGGTAGAACAGCTGAGGCCCTTGCCCCCCTGGACAATCACAAGCCCAGGCAAGGTCACCTGCAGCACAGCTACTGCCACCACCCAGCCAATCAGAAGCTCACTTGCAACACAGTTTGCGCTCCACCCATCATTACCTGCCCTTGTTAGACCTCACCCATCACTACCAGCCTCTAGTAGACCTTTCAAACCCCCAAATCCCTCTGGGTCATCACTACCTACCTTTGGTAGACTCTGGACCTTCCACCTGGCCCAACAATAACTGCCCCTGTGGTAGACCAGGCAAGCCCACCCCCATCACTATCTGCTGCTGTGGTAGCCCCCTGATCTATCCCACAGGCCCATCACTACCAGCCCCTAGTAGACCTTTCAACCCCAATTCCCTCTGGGTCATCACTACCTACACTTGGTAGACTCTGGACCTTCCACCTGGCCCAACAATAATTGCCCCTGTGGTAGACAAGGCAAGCCCACCCCCATCACTATCTGCCCCTGTGGTAGCCCCCTGACCTACCCCACAGGCCCATCACTACCAGCCCCTAGTAGGCTTTCAACCCCAATTCCCTCTGGGTCATCACTACCTACACTTGGTAGACTCTGGACCTTCCACCTGGCCCAACAATACCTGCCCCTGTGGTAGACCAGGCAAGCCCACCCCCATCACTATCTGCTCCTGTGGTAGCCCCCTGACCTACCTCACAGGCCCATCACTACCAGCCCCTAGTAGACCTTTCAACCCCAATTCCCTCTGGGTCATCACTACCTACACTTGGTAGACTCTGGACCTTCCACCTGGCCCAACAATAACTGCCCCTGTGGTAGACCAGGCAAGCCCACCCACATCACTATCTGTCCCTGTTGTAGCCCTGACCTACCCCCCAGGCCCATCACTACCTGCTCCTGTTAGACTCCCCAGCCAGTCACTACCTGCCCCTAGAAGACCTTCCAACCCCCCTTCCCCCTCCCGCCCGATCAGTAGCTGCCCTTGGTAGGCTAAGCATGCCCCCGGTCCAGCAATACTACCCACTGTGGTAGACCACCGATGGCCCCCCCCCCCCCCCCCACTCTCTATGTCCCCGGTAGTTCCCTCTTCCCCATCATCCCACCCTGGACTCATTACTACCTGCCCCTGGTAAAGCCCAGCGTCCTGTACGGTGTTGTCCGGTTTGGTGAGCTGCTCGTAGGTGTTCGTCATATATCGGTTCCACAGCCGAGTGTCTTTTTCAGGAGGAATATTAAAGATGCGTCTCATCTCTTTCTCTACAAATTCTGTGACAAGAGAGAGGCAATGAAGAAACAGAGGGGGACCCGTACCGATAGGCTGTAATATAGCCTATTGTGCTCACATGTCGATGGAAAATATGAGCTTCACTCCCTCAATCAACATTGACTATTATATACTGCTAGCATTATTAGATAGGAAGGAATATAATATATTTTCTTGTTTTGACCTTTCATTTAACATTTCTTCAGTTACTTTCTGGTTTCTTGCCTAGGCAAAAATGATGTCATACATCCCAGGAGTTTTCAGGAGAGAAGGGGGCTCACTCAGCTAAGCACACCCGCTTTCCTGCACACCTGAGCTAAGGGCAGATGGATTCCAGGAAGTAAATGCTACATGAATCATCTGCCCTTACTCAAGATGGCCACAGCCAGATATGCCAGGGGGGTTGTTTTTCAAAGTGATTTCTTAGTAAAATAAAGCATGGAGACATGGATGGATGAGAGAGTTTGCTTTGAATATTAAAAATGAATTACATAGCGTTTGTGGTGCTCAGATGCAGTGTAGTTCGCTTTAAGAGAACCTGTCTACACAAAGATATACTGTATTTGGGGGGGGGGGGGGGGGGGGGGGGGGAGATATCGAGCCGAGCGCACTGGAATGCTCTCCAACAGCTAGAGGTACCATAACAAATGTTTTGGACACCGCTTGCCCAGCCTGACCTGTATGAAATGTATTGGGCAGCACAGTGGCTAAATGGTTAGCGCTTCTGCCTGGCAGTACTCGGGTTGTTGGTTCGAATCCCAGCCCACACTACCACCTGCCTGGAGTTTGCATGTTCTCCCTGTGCGGGTTTCCTCCAGGTCCTCCGGTTTCCTCCCACACTCCTAAAACACATGCTGGGAGGTTAATTTGCCCCTCCTGTCTAAATTGTACGCCCCTAGTATGTGTATGTATGAATGTGAGTTAGGGGCCTTCGATTGTACGCCCCTTGAGGGTTAGGGGCCTTCGATTGTACGCCCCTTGAGGGTTAGGGGCCTTCGATTGTACGCCCCTTGAGGGTTAGGGGCCTTCGATTGTACGCCCCTTGAGGGGGGTTAGGGTTAGGGGCCTTCGATTGTACGCCCCTTGAGGGTTAGGGGCCTTCGATTGTACGCCCCTTGAGGGTTAGGGGCCTTCGATTGTACGCCCCTTGAGGGTTAGGGGCCTTCGATTGTACGCCCCTTGAGGGTTAGGGACTGATGTGAATGTACAATATATATGTAAAGCGCTGATTGATGGCGCTATAAACGTACCTGAAATAAATGTACATGACGGCCTCAGCCAGTGCTGCTCGACTGACCACGCCCCACTGACTCATTTCACCCCGCCCACCAGGTCTTAATCATAGAGGTGGTCCTACCTCTATGACAAAGCCTTTGGTGGGCGGGGTAAACCTCCATGTCTAAGCCCCAGTGAGCAGGGTGAAACGCGTCAGTGGAGCAGCGCTGGGTGAAGCAGTCACATACGTTTTATACGGGTCAGAATGGGTGAGCATTTGTTACCGGTACCTCTGGATGTGAGTGCCGGGGGGGAGAGACACCGAACTCTTGCTTGGAGTGGTGCTGCAAGATTTCACTGCTCTCCAACAGCTGCCTCTGACAGGTACACTTTACACTAGTGGTGCACCGAAATGAAAATTCCAGAACCAAAACTGAAAATTCAGGACGCACTTGGCTGAAAAGCAAAAATCGAAAACGGACAGTTTTTCAAGAATTTTTTAAAAATGTAATGTGGCTGGTGTGTTTTGCACTGCAGCCTACGGGGGCGCGGTCCTGCACTGCAGCCTACGGGGGCGCGGTCCTGCACTGCAGCCTACGGGGGGGCGCGGTCCTGCACTGCAGCCTACGGGGGGGCGCGGTCCTGCACTGCAGCCTACGGGGGCGCGGTCCTGCACTGCAGCCTACGGGGGCGCGGTCCTGCACTGCAGCCTACGGGGGCGCGGTCCTGCACTGCAGCCTACGGGGGCGCGGTCCTGCACTGCAGCCTACGGGGGCGCGGTCCTGCACTGCAGCCTACGGGGGCGCGGTCCTGCACTGCAGCCTACGGGGGCGCGGTCCTGCACTGCAGCCTACGGGGGGCGCGGTCCTGCACTGCAGCCTACGGGGGCGCGGTCCTGCACTGCAGCCTACGGGGGCGCGGTCCTGCACTGCAGCCTACGGGGGCGCGGTCCTGCACTGCAGCCTACGGGGGCGCGGTCCTGCACTGCAGCCTACGGGGGCGCGGTCCTGCACTGCAGCCTACGGGGGGGGCGCGGTCCTGCACTGAAGCCTACGGGGGCGCGGTCCTGCACTGAAGCCTACGGGGGCGCGGTCCTGCACTGAAGCCTACGGGGGCGCGGTCCTGCACTGAAGCCTACGGGGCGCGGGGGCGCGGTCCTGCACTGAAGCCTACGGGGGCGCGGTCCTGCACTGAAGCCTACGGGGGCGCGGTCCTGCACTGAAGCCTACGGGGGCGCGGTCCTGCACTGAAGCCTACGGGGGCGCGGTCCTGCACTGAAGCCTACGGGGGCGCGGTCCTGCACTGAAGCCTACGGGGGGGGGCGCGGTCCTGCACTGAAGCCTACGGGGGCGCGGTCCTGCACTGAAGCCTACGGGGGCGCGGTCCTGCACTGAAGCCTACGGGGGCGCGGTCCTGCACTGAAGCCTACGGGGGCGCGGTCCTGCACTGAAGCCTACGGGGGCGCGGTCCTGCACTGAAGCCTACGGGGGGGGCGCGGTCCTGCACTGAAGCCTACGGGGGCGCGGTCCTGCACTGAAGCCTACGGGGGCGCGGTCCTGCACTGAAGCCTACGGGGGCGCAATCTTGCACTGAAGCCTACGGGGGCGCAATCTTGCACTGAAGCCTACGGGGGCGCAATCTTGCACTGAAGCCTACGGGACGCAATCTTGCACTGAAACGGGACGCAATCTACGGGACGCAATCTTGCACTGAAGCCTACGGGACGCAATCTTGCACTGAAGCCTACGGGACGCAATCTTGCACTGAAGCCTACGGGACGCAATCTTGCACTGAAGCCTACGGGACGCAATCTTGCACTGAAGCCTACGGGACGCAATCTTGCACTGAAGCCTACGGGACGCAATCTTGCACTGAAGCCTACGGGACGCAATCTTGCACTGAAGCCTACGGGACGCAATCTTGCACTGAAGCCTACGGGACGTGATTTTGCCCTGAAATAACTATTTTCGGCCAATAATTCGACAGCCGATCTATCAGCGCATCCCAACTTTACACTGCTGAGTGTAAATGGAAGATATTCAGTGGTCACCCAGCACATAGTTCTGTTCTATGAGAGCATTGACACAACAAGACACAAACACACCTTCTCACTTCATGAGAAAACTTCACGTAGTATAAAAAGAGTACAAGTGACACCCTGGCAGCCATGTTGTCTGGCCGTACTCTCCACTCACCTATGGTGTCGGCCTTGCTGAAGTGCCGGCTGACCATTTTTTCGGGGTTGTTGTTCTCACTCAGCTTTAATTCGATCAGATAGACTTCCACCTTACAATGCTTCACAAACATGCCGTGCTCCACCACCTGCAAGAGACGCAGCGATCAGAGAGGGCGCTCCCGCCTGCGGGGCCGACACACGCAGGGCCGCTACCAACCTTCCGTACGATGGGCTGCTGGCCCTGGACGCTCCCATACCAGTTCAACAGCTTGTTCCAGGCCTCCATCGGGAGGAGGACATAATCCAGCTCATCGATCAGATGCTCCTTTAATACCTGAGTGTCAGGATCTGGAACAGAGAACGGGGTGGCTGTTAGGGGCCACAATACAAAGATGGAGAGACCACTGCTGGGGCCTAACACAGGGATGGCTGCCTGCAGGTCTCCATTTCTTAGACAGCGGTACCCCGGGGCAATACTGAGGGGCCACAGTACGACGATTCAACCGAGACCAGGCCTGTTCTGACGCTTCTCTCATACATTTCTTTTTGTTAGAAAATTACTTCGTAGCCCCAAACATTATATATATAAAGCAGAGGCCCTACAGAATAAAATGGCGGGTGTTACAATTTTTTTTATGTCACACGGTATTCGCGGAGCGGTTGTTCAAACGCAATTTTTTTCGGAAAAAAAATACACTTTCATGAATTTTAATGCACAAAAACACAATACCCGATTGGTAAAATATAAAAGATGATGCTACGCCGAGTAAATGCCGTATTTTTCACTCCATAAGACGCACTTTTTTTCCCCCCAAAAAATGGGGTAAAATGTCTGCATCTTATGGAGCGGCCGGCCCGGTATTCCCGCTGCGTTAGTATACCGGGCCGGGCCGCTCAGCTCTACTGTGCAGAAGAACCCGCTCCTCCGTCCTACCTGCTCCTCGGACCAGCTTCCATCGGCCGTCTTCTCTCCCTGGCGCCGCCATCTTCAGTGTGGGCACCCGGCTGTGACAGCTTGCGGCTTTACAGCCGGGTGCCCACTGCGCATGCGCGAGAAGCGCTGCGCTTTGTGAATGGCCCCGTAGTCTTCTGGGACCTGTCACGTGTCCCACAAGACAACGGGGAGGGAGGTGGGGGAGGACAACTACGCAGAAGTGGGAACGGGTACCTGTCAAAATGGGTACCCGCCTACTTCCCCCCCTCCCCAAAAGGTCCGTAGTCACTGGTCGTCCCGTGTCCGTAGTCACTGGTCATCTCCTGTACCGTGTCCGCAGTCTCTGGTCATCTCCTGTACCGTGTCCGCAGTCTCTGGTCATCTCCTGTACCGTGTCCGCAGTCTCTGGTCATCTCCTGTACCGTGTCCGCAGTCTCTGGTCATCTCTTGTACCGTGTCCGCAGTCTCTGGTCATCTCTTGTACCGTGTCCGCAGTCTCTGGTCATCCCCTGTACCGTGGCCGCAGTCTCTGGTCATCTCCTGTACCGTGTCCGCAGTCTCTGGTCATCTCCTGTACCGTGTCCGCAGTCTCTGGTCATCTCCTGTACCGTGTCCGCAGTCTCTGGTCATCTCTTGTACCGTGTCCGCAGTCTCTGGTCATCTCCTGTACCGTGTCCGCAGTCTCTGGTCATCTCCTGTACCGTGTCCGCAGTCTCTGGTCATCTCTTGTACCGTGTCCGCAGTCTCTGGTCATCTCTTGTACCGTGTCCGCAGTCTCTGGTCATCCCCTGTACCGTGGCCGCAGTCTCTGGTCATCCCCTGTACCGTGGCCGCAGTCTCTGGTCATCCCCTGTACCGTGGCCGCAGTCTCTGGTCATCCCCTGTACCGTGGCCGCAGTCTCTGGTCATCTCCTGTACCGTGCCCGCAGTCTCTGATCATCCCCTGTACCGTGTCCGCAGTCTCTGGTCATCCCTGTACCGTGTCCGCAGTCTCTGGTCATCTCCTGTACCGTGTCCGCAGTCTCTGGTCATCTCCTGTACCGTGTCCGCAGTCTCTGGTCATCTCCTGTACCGTGTCCGCAGTCTCTGGTCATCTCCTGTACCATGTCCGCAGTCTCTGGTCATCTCCTGTACCGTGTCCGCAGTCTCTGGTCATCCCCTGTACCGTGTCCGCAGTCTCTGGTCATCCCCTGTACCGTGTCCGCAGTCTCTGGTCATCTCCTGTACCGTGTCCGCAGTCTCTGGTCATCTCCTGTACCGTGTCCGCAGTCTCTGGTCATCTCCTGTACCGTGTCCGCAATCTCTGGTCATCTCCTGTACTATGTCTGCAGCCAATTGGTTCAGAATCAGGTATGCTGCATGCAAATGTGCTGACAAGCAGCACGCTCAAAAGGAGAAAAGATCAGAGAGATAACCTCATCACTGTGCTGCTACCCCTTCACTATCCAGTCAGCAGGGTGAAATAGGAAGTGGTGCCCCCTATCTATGCTGTGTGGCAGAACTGTGTACATCTCAGGACATGATGGACACAAATACAAATCCATTGGCAGGTAAAACATCCGTCATATATGTATTTGTTGTCTGTGTATTCAGTGGTTTTGAGTTCAGCTTTAATAAACTAAACAAACCCCACTCCCTATACGTGAAGATAAGATTCCTCAGGCAGATCGTCATGTCCCACATTACCTGAAAACAATCCGGAATTATCCACAGGCCCCGGGTATTGACTGTTCTCCCCGACATTGTACATGTCCCACGAGTCGTAGCCGACATACTTCTTCCATTGCTTGAACCATCGGCTGTCCACGAGATACCTGAAACAGAAAGACCGATTATTAGAATAACCCCAACAAGGCAGCTGCCCCAAAAGTCACTCCAATCTAAAGGAAGGAGCTGACCCATCAGTCACCCCAAGCCAACCCAACGAGGAAATTGCCCCAACAAGAGAGTGACCATATCCCAACCCAACGAAGGAGCTGCCCCAACCACACCCCACGAGGGAGCTGCCCCAACAAGAGTCACCATATCCCAACCAAACGAGGGAGCTGCCCCAACCCCACCCCACACAACGAGGGAGCTGCCCCCAACCCCACCCCACACAACGAGGGAGCTGCCCCAACCCCACCCCACACAACGAGGGAGCTGCCCCAACCCCACCCCACACAACGAGGGAGCTGCCCCAACCCCACCCCACACAACGAGGGAGCTGCCCCAACCCCACCCCACACAACGAGGGAGCTGCCCCAACCCCACCCCACACAACGAGGGAGCTGCCCCAACCCCCACCCTACACAACGAGGGAGCTGCCCCAACCCCACCCTACACAACGAGGGAGCTGCCCCAACCCCACCCCCCCACGAGGGAGCTGCCCCAACCCAACCCCACGAGGGAGCTGCCCCAACCCAACCCCACGAGGGAGCTGCCCCAACCCAACCCCACGAGGGAGCTGCCCCCCAACCCGAACCCCACGAGGGAGCTGCCCCAACAGAGTCAACCCAACCCAAAGCAAACTGCCCCAGAGTCACCGCAAGCCAACTCAAGGAGGGAACTGCCCCAAAAGAGTCACTCCAACCCAGGAGGGAACTGCCATAACAGAATTACCCCAATGAGGGAACTGCCCCAACAGAGTCACCCCTCACCCCAAGGAGGGAACTGCCCCAACGGAGTCACCCCCTCACCCCAAGGAGGGAACTGCCCCAACGGAGTCACCCCCTCACCCCAAGGAGGGAACTGCCCCAACGGAGCCACCCCCCCTCACCCCAAGGAGGGAACTGCCCCAACGGAGCCACCCCACCCCAAGGAGGGAACTGCCCCAACGGAGCCACCCCACCCCAAGGAGGGAACTGCCCCAACGGAGCCACCCCACCCCAAGGAGGGAACTGCCCCAACGGAGCCACCCCACCCCAAGGAGGGAACTGCCCCAACGGAGCCACCCCACCCCAAGGAGGGAACTGCCCCAACGGAGCCACCCCACCCCAAGGAGGGAACTGCCCCAACGGAGCCACCCCACCCCAAGGAGGGAACTGCCCCAACGGAGCCACCCCACCCCAAGGAGGGAACTGCCCCAACGGAGCCACCCCACCCCAAGGAGGGAACTGCCCCAACAGAGCCACCCCACCCCAAGGAGGGAACTGCTTCAACATAGTCACCCCAACCCAAGGAGGGAACTGTCTCAACAGTGTCACCCCATTCCAATCAATGGAAGGAACAGCCCATCAGTCACCCCAACCAAAGAAGGGAACTGCCCCAACAGAGTCACCCTATTCTAAGAAGGGAAATTCTCCAATACAGTCACACAAGTCTAAACACTCAACAGTCCCAGTAGAGACACCACAATTCAAGGACACAAAAGAACCAACACCTGAGTGTAAAAAATCTGCTGGGATAGTGGGAACCCCTCTTAATGGACACAGCAAGAGTGCAGACCCAGGAACTGACATATAAAGATGCAAATCTCATTTTGCTCATTAAGTCTAGTATGACAGGAGTCTGGATTTGCACAGATTTCTTTCTGCTCCATTATCAGCAATGTAGGTGAAGGGAGGTGGTGTCACTACGCAGGGTACTACATCTACACTGACACTGGGTGATAGCAGACTGGTTGGGTTTCTGGTCACTCCTCTCCTGCGGTTAATGTTGAAGGGAAGACGACGCGCAATTCTCCAGAGCTCACAGTAAACAAGTCTCTCTGCTTTTACTTTCATTTACTGGCAGAATGTGCACACTCCCTCTTCCTGCCTCCTCCCAGGGATGGTGCGTCTTGCGTAATCTGTGGCCGGTGTCACTCAGCTTGCCTAACCTGACACCATCATTACACGGCAAAAATGACGGCCCAGGAACATCAAAGAGGCGTGTGTGCAGAGAGTGGAAACGTACAGGCCGGCGTCATATATAGAGGAATGCAAGTTGTAGAGCAAGCGCCCCACTGCACCCCACAGAAAGCGCGCCCCACAGCAAGCGCGCCCCGCCGCACCCCACAGCAAGCGCGCCCCGCCGCAACCCACAGCAAGCGCTCCCCGCCGCAACCCACAGCAAGCGCTCCCCGCCGCAACCCACAGCAAGCGCGCCGCAACCCACAGCAAGCGCGCCGCAACACAACAGCACACAGCGCGCCGCAACACACAGCAAGCGCGCCGCAACACACAGCAAGCGCGCCGCAACACACAGCAAGCGCGCCCCGCCGAAACCCACAGCAAGCGCGCCCCGCCGAAACCCACAGCAAGTGCGCCCCGCCACACCCCACAGCAAGCGCGCTGCAACACACAGCAAGCGCGCCGCAAACCGCCGCAACCGCGCCCCGCCGCAACCACGCCCCACACACGAGGATTGTGAGCTGCTGCAGAAAAGTCATTTCTTAGATTTCAATGCACTTATTTGTATCCAATATACAGGAGCAGGTGACCCTCCTACCCCCCCCCCCCCCAAAAAAAAAAAAAAACTGTCATGTGACATCATAGGCACTTGTTGATTGGCCCAGAGATGTCACATGGGGGTCACAAGCCCTCAGTGTAAGCTCTAATGCAGGCCACAGACAGTTTGTTTATCGGCCGATTTTTCGTCCGAAAAACAACACATCGGTCGTTCTGTTGTCACCAATGATTGCGAAAATCGGCCTTTTTTCGCAAATTTTCCAGCATGACTGATATACGAAATGAGCAGGAACTGTGAAAATTGGCCAATGACATTGCCCCACTAATGGAGCGAAAATCATCCGATTATTCTTTCAGACGCAAAATCGGCCGATAAACAACCCGTCTATGGCCTGCATAAGTCTCAGTTCACACTAGCTTTGTCAGCAGGTGTCAGACAGGCATTTGGGGAAGCGCTTTTAACGCTTCTCAAACGCCTCTGAAAATTCTGCACATGGCAGCACACAGTGCTGTTCACATTGAAGCGTTAGCCTCGCGGCAAAACTGACGCCTCGTGTCCAGTCAGGAGTTGAAGCCTCCCATTCAAGTCTATGGTGCCGCCCCTCAAACGCCTGGCTGGTGTTTGCGAGGCGGTTTCGGAGCATTAATACAATTTAACTTCATTATACAGGTGTTTGTGGTGCGGTTTTAAACGCTTGGCAAACGCCTATCAACCGCCTCAAAACCGCGCATGGGGTGTTTGAGGGGCATTAAAAACGCTTCCCAAACGCCCGTCAAATGTTATAGGAGCGTTTGGCAAGAGTTAGAAATAAAGTGTGAAGGAGCCCTAACTGAGGTGACACTTCCCATCGACTGGTCACAGTGGCAGGAAAGCAAAGGATAGATGAGTATGTGCAGCTGGAGGAAGGTGGAGGGGCATTAATGTGACCCCCGTGCTGCCCCGCCTTTGAGCACAATTCATTGATCCGATAGCCCTATGATTGGCGGCACTTCAAATATCTTCCGTATTGATAACCCGTCACAGAGAGGGAGGACACCCTCCAACGCTGGGTGTCACCCTGACTCCATCCAAATCAACAACGAATTTACATAAACACATCATTAATCCGTGGCCTCTCCTATGGAACATAAGTGATCACACCCAGCATCCCCGACACCTACAATAGGCCTGCCGTGGACTCTGGCACGTGGCCAAATCAAATGAAGAGGCGATACAACCTAATGGCCTTCAGATGCCTCAGTCTATGCTCATCAAGACTGCAGTAGGATGCCAAGCTTGGGTGTCTGAACAAAGCTGTATGACCCAACACACCCAGCAGAGGGCGGCGCAGTTTCAGAAGAGCTCAGTAAGTGCCCCATTTCTGACACCGGTGCGCACGTGGCCCGGCAGGAGCTGATGGGGGGAAATGAAGGGAGGAGCGACATAAGTAACATGGGCTGTGAATCCCACGACAAGCAGAAGGGTGACGCTCCCACTCCTTCCCTCTGCACTCTGGGTGCCCCGTGTGGGGTAAAGGTGTCACCCGGGGTCATGAGCCATCCTTTGCCCAGCAGAGGACAGATATCCAGAGTTATAAATAAATCTCTCAGCCTATTCAGATAAGAAATGTCTGCTGGATGTTATCTACAACCAACCGCTGACACCGTGTTCCCGAAGTGCCTGAGAGAAGATAACCAGATTCTCCGTTCATCCTACAACCAGCACTGCCGGAAGCTGACTGGCTGTGATAAGGGGGGGGGGGTTAGATACTGATAATACCACACCAGCAGGATTTTCCCTGGTTTGGGGATTTTCCTAAATCATTGCTTTACTTCTGTTATGATCACATATACATGGATCTCTATGGGAAGTGATGGAAGGATACAATGTATACAATGTTACCAGCAGGAGAAGAATCCACAAACAATGTAACATTGTATCAGAAGCAGTGACCGCCCATAGAGTTCTGTGTGTCTACACCGGATAATCCGACATAACGGCTGAGCCGAATCAAATGGAGCAAATGAACGCTTACACTACTGACTGCTGGGGTCTGCAAAGGGCCCCATGTGGCCCCTAGGAATCAATGGTTTCTATTATTTAGCAGAAAGACACGCCGTCCACGGGTCACCACCGTCTACAGACACGCCGTCCACGGGTCACCACCGTCTACAGACACGCCGTCCACGGGTCACCACCGTCTACAGACACGCCGTCCACGGGTCACCACCGTCTATAGACACGCCGTCCACGGGTCACCACCGTCTACAGACACGCCGTTCACGGGTCACCACCGTCTACAGACACGCCGTCCACGGGTCACCACCGTCTACAGACACGCCGTCCACGGGTCACCACCGTCTACAGACACGCCGTCCACGGGTCACCACCGTCTACAGACACGCCGTCCACGGGTCACCACCGTCTACAGACACGCCCCGTCCACGGGTCACCACCGTCTACAGACACCCGTCCACGGGTCACCACCCGTCTACAGACACGCCGTCCACCGGCCACCGTCTACAGACACGCCGGGTCACCACCGTCTACAGACACTCCGTACATGTGGCCACGGTCACCACCGTCCACAGACATTCTGTCCACGCCGGCCACGGGTCACCATCGTCTACAGACATTCCGTCCACCACCGTCTACAGACACGGGTCACCATCGTCTACAGACATTCCGTCCACCCGCCACGGGTCACCATCGTCTACAGACAGACATTCACCGTCCACCCGGCCACGGGTCACCACCGTCTACAGACACGCCGTCCACGGGTCACCACCGTCTACAGACACGCCGTCCACGGGTCACCACCGTCTACAGACACGCCGTCCACGGGGTCACCACCGTCTACAGACACGCCGTCCACGGGTCACCACCGTCTACAGACACGCCGTCCACGGGTCACCACCGTCTACAGACACGCCGTCCACGGGTCACCACCGTCTACAGACACGCCGTCCACGGGTCACCACCACCGTCTACAGACACGCCGTCCACGGGTCACCACCGTCTACAGACACGCCGTCCACGGGTCACCACCGTCTACAGACACGCCGTCCACGGGTCACCACCGTCTACAGACACGCCGTCCACGGGTCACCACCGTCTACAGACACGCCGTCCACGGGTCACCACCGTCTACAGACACGCCGTCCACGGGTCACCACCGTCTACAGACACGCCGTCCACGGGTCACCACCGTCTACAGACACGCCGTCCACGGGTCACCACCGTCTACAGACACGCCGTCCACCCAGCCACGGGTCACCACCGTCTGCAGACACGCCACCCACCCGTAATGGGTCACCACTGTCTACAGACATGCCGTACAGACACACCCGGTAATGGGTCACCACCGTCTACAGACACTCCGTCCACCCGGCCATGGGTCACCACCGTCTATCAGCCATAACCCCCATGCCCTCACCCAAAATCTCAGCACCCCATTCCTCATGCTCGTCACCACCATCCCCCAATCTCAGCACCCCATAACCTGGGCTTGTCACCCCCATCCCCCGATCTCAGCACTCCATTTTCGGGTTTGTCACCCCCAATCTCAGCACTCCATTCCCTGGGTTTGTCACCCCCATCACCCTATCCCAGTACCTCATATCCTGATCTTGTCACCCCCCACCCCTGGTTTCAGTACACCATCCCCCGATCTCATCACCACATAACCTGAACTTGTCACCCCCAACTCCGATCTTGTCACCCCCGGTCTCAGTAACCCCATCCACGGGTTCATCACCCCAATTTCCCAATCTCAGCACCCCATTCCCGGGCTTGCCACCCCCCCCCGATCTCAGCACCCCATTCCCCGGGCTTGCCACCACCCCCATCCCCCAATCTCACCACCCCATTCCCCGACTTCTCACCCCAATCCCCCACCACCCCATTCTCCGACTTCTCACCCCAATCCCAGCATCCCATTGCCCCGCTTGTCACCCCCATCGACAAATCACAGCACCCCATTTCCCGGGCTTGTCACCCCCATCCCCCAATCTCAGCACCCCATTCCCCGGGCTTGTCACCCCCCAATCTCAGCACCCCGTTCCCCGGGCTTGTCACCCCCCCATCCCCCAATCTCAGCACCCCGTTCCCTGGGCTTGTCACCCCCCCCCATCCCCCAATCTCAGCACCCCGTTCCCCGGGCTTGTCACCCCCCCCATTCCCCAATCTCAGCACCCCGTTCCCCGGGCTTGTCACCCCCCCATCCCCCAATCTCAGCACCCCCGTTCCCCGGGCTTGTCACCCCCCCCAGCCCCCAATCTCAGCACCCCATTCCCCGGGCTTGTCACCCCCCATCCCCCGATCTCAGCACCCCATTCCCCGGGCTTGCCACCCCCCATCCCCCGATCTCAGCACCCCATTCCCCGGGCTTGCCACCCCCATCCCCCAATCTCACCACCCCATTCTCCGACTCCTCACCCCAATCCCAGCATCCCATTGCCCGGCTTGTCATCCCCATCGACAAATCACAGCACCCTATTTCCCGGGCTTGTCACCCCCATCCCCCAATCTCAGCACCCCATTCCCCGGCTTGTCACCCCCCCATCCCCCAATCTCAGCACCCCCGTTCCACGGGCTTGACACCCCCCCCATCCCCCAATCTCAGCACCCCGTTCCCCGGGCTTGACACCCCCCCCATCCCCCAATCTCAGCACCCCGTTCCCCGGGCTTGTCACTGCCCCCCCCATCCCCCAATCTCCGTTCCCCGGGCTTGTCACCCCCCCCCCCGTTCCCCGTTCCCTGGGCTTGTCACCCCCCCCCCCAGCCCCCAATCTCAGCACCCCATTCCCCGGGCTTGTCACCCCCCATCCCCCAATCTCAGCACCCCATTCCCTGAGCTTGTCACCCCCAACTCCGATCTGGTCACCCCGGTCTCAAAAACGACCATCCCCAGCTTCATCACCATTTCCTGGTCCCGTCACCCCCATTTCACGGTCCCCTCACCCCCATCCCCCAGTCTCAGGTCTATACGGATGAAGATGACGGTCATATACGAGGGGCGTAGGACACGATGTAGGAGGCAGTCAGGCTGGTTGGAATTTTTCAGCCAATGTTCTGTTCTCCGATAACAGCTCACCGCCCCCCCCCAACCAATCACAGAGAGATCTGAGGATAGTACAACCCATTCATGTATAGCCTCCTCCTCCTGTCATAGTCTGGGCCCCCTGTGGCCCCAGTCAGGGTCCTGAGGGTGGAGCTGTCACTTTAAGGCCCCCGGCCAGTCAGTGATGAGACAGCACAGTGCCCCTCCCCCTCTCCTGGGCCCCGGCGGGGGCCCCTCTCTCTCACCACTCGTCCCCCTTCCTCAGCGGAGTCTTCAGCAGTTCCCCCAGCTCGTTCTTCTGTATCTCGGGTTCCGGTACCGAGACCTGCTCTCCTCCCCCCTCCGCCATAGCTCAGCTACCAGCTTCGGGAGCGCGCACGTCTCACTACCACCCGGTCCGTCACAGCGTTACGCGCGCGCTACCCTTCTCCTCCGCCCCTGGACAAGGACACCACGTGACTGCGCCACCTGTCAGTCGGCGCACGCGCCCCACCAAAGCCTCTGAAAACACGTGACCATGTCGGGCAAGTCACTGACTTCACGCATGCGCAGATCTTTACGACTGGGTCGTACGCCATGCGCTCTCCGCTGCGGCGTCCAGCTACCAACAGCGCATGCTCGTAAACTCTTTAACTGTCCATCCTTACCCACCCATGTGCAGAAGGGGGCGTGTCTTTGTGTTTCATATGGCAGCTTATCTGTATGAACGTGACCTCAGGCGTGGGGTTCCCCACACAGGAGGGGGAAGGGATACTTGGCGCTATCATGTACAGTCTGATCACTGGGGGAGGGGAGACTGAGGAAATGCTTCCTCTCCTTCTACAAAGTTACAATGTACAGTCTGATCGCTGGAGGACAGGAGACCGAGGAAACGCTTCCTCCTCCTTCTACAAAGTTACAATGTACAGTACAGTCTGATCGCTGGGGGAGGGGAGACCGAGGAAACGACTCCTCCTCCTTCTACAAAGTTACAATGTACAGCCTGATCGCTGGGGGAGGGGAGACCGAGGAAACGCCTCCTTCTCCTTCTACAAAGTTATAATGTACAGCCTGATCGCTGGAGGACGGGAGACCGAGGAAACGCTTCCTCCTCCTTCTACAAAGTTACAATGTACAGTCTGATCGCTGGGGGAGGGGAGATTGAGGAAATGCTCCCTTCTGCCTGCAGCAGACTGATGACATCATCTCAGCCTAGGCACAGTCAAATATTGAAAGGCAGTGAGGGGCGCTAATTATTGCTGAAACAAACACACTGCAACTGCATGTAATGCACGTGGTTGCAGCACTTCTCCATTTGCTTGAATGGGTTGAGTTTGATGGTCTTAGTGCCTGCCAATTGCATGTCAGATCATCACCAACCAGCAGGTGGCAGAACACCTCCCCCCCACACTGGAAATCACCACCCTCTGACAAACTGTCATCACCAATATAACCAGCAGGTGGCAGAAGACCTCCCCCTGACACGGGATATCACCACCCACTGACCAACTGTCATCACCAAAATAACCAGCAGGTGGCAGAACACTCCCCCCCCCCCCCCCCCCCCCGACACAGGGGATATCACCACCCACTGACAAACTGTCATCCCCAATATAACCAACGGGTGGCAGAACACCTCCCCCCCCCCCCCCCGACACAGGGGATATCACCACCCACTGACAAACTGTAATCCCCAATATAACCAGCGGGTGGCAGAACACCTCCCCCCGACACAGGATATCACCACCCACTGACAAACTGTCATCCCCAATATAACCAGCAGGTGGCAGAACACCTCCCCCTGACACGGGATATCACCACCCACTGACCAACTGTCATCACCAAAATAACCAGCAGGTGGCAGAACACCTCCCCCCCCCCCCCCCGACACAGGGGATATCACCACCCACTGACAAACTGTCATCCCCAATATAACCAACGGGTGGCAGAACACCCCCCCCCCCCCCCCCGACACAGGGGATATCACCACCCACTGACAAACTGTCATCCCCAATATAACCAGCGGGTGGCAGAACACCTCCCCCCGACACGGGATATCACCACCCACTGACAAACTGTCATCCCCAATATAACCAGCGGGTGGCAGAACACTCCCCCCCCCCCCGACACAGGATATCACCACCCACTGACAAACTGACATCGCCAATATGACCAGCAGGTGGCAGACCCCCCCCCCCCCCCCCCCCCCGCTACTGGATATCACCACCCACTGACAAACTGTCATCCCCCAATATAACCAGCGGGTGGCAGAAGACCTCCCCCCGACATAGGGGATATCACCACCCACTGACAAACTCACTCATCATCCCCAATAAAACCAGCAGATGGCAGAACACCCCCCCCCCCCCTTCCCGACACAGGGGATATCACCACCCTCTGACAAATTATCATTACCAATATAGCCAGCAGGTGTCAGCACAGCCACACACATGGCACCTCGCATATCACCACCCTCTGACTGACTATCATCTCAAACATAACCAGTAGGTGGCAGCATATCACACATATAGCACCCAGGATATCACAACCAACTGACTGTCATCTCCAATATAACCAGCAGGTGGCAGCACTTCAGCAACTGACTGTCATTTCAAAAATAACCACCAGGTGTCAGCACAGCCACACACATGGCACCCGAATATCACCACCCTCTGATTGACCATCATCTCAAATATAACCAGTAGGTGGCAGCATATCACACATATAGCACCCGGGATATCACAAACAAATGACTATCATCCCCAATATAAACAAAAGGTGACAGCACACCCCCACACATGACACCTGGGATATCAGGTATAACCAGCAGATGGCAGCACACCCTGACATAAGGCACCCTGGACATCAACACTCACCAACTGACTATTATCTCCCATATAACAAGGAGGAGGCAGCATGTCCCTACATCTCAGCACCCGGGATATCACCACCCACATACTGTCATCTCCTTTTTAACCAGTAGGTGGTAGGACACCTTCACAGCAAGAAGATCACCACCCATTGACCGACTGTCATCTCCAATATAACCAGCAGGTGGCAGTGCACCCTGACACTGGGAATTGGGGATTTCATCCCCACTGATTAACTATCATTTCCAGTAAAACCAGCAGATGGCCGAACACCTCCACATGCACTATGTTGCCCCAAGTATTGGGCCGCTGGCCTTTCCACGCACATGACCTTTAATGGCCCCCCAGTCTTACTCCGTAGGGTTCAATATTGAGTTGGCCCCGCCCTTTGCAGCTATAACAGCTTCAACTCTTCTGGGAAGGCCGTCCACAAGGTTTAGGAGGGTGTCTATGGGAAGGTTGGACCATTCTTCCAGAAGCACATTTGTCAGGTCAGGCACTGATTTCGGGGGAGGAGGCCTGGCTCGCAGTCCGCGCTCTAATTCATCCCAAAGGTGTTCTATGGGGTTGAGGTCAGGACTCTGTGCAGGTCAGTCAAGTTCCTCCACCCCAAACTGGCTCCTCCATGTCTTTATGGACCTTGCTCTGTGCACTGGTGCGCTGTCATGTTGGAACAGGAAGGGGCCATCCCCAAACTCCTCCCACAAAGTTGGGGGCATGAAATTGTCCAAAATGTTGCCTTAAGAGTTTCCTTCACTGGAACCAGAAGGTGGCAGCACACCCCCAAAAATGGCATCTATGATATGACCACCCACTGACTGACTGTCCTCTCCAATGTAACCAGAAGGAGGCAGCACATCACCACACATGGCACCTGGGACAACACCACTGACTGATTGACTGTTATCGCCAATATAGCCTATAGGTGGCAGCACATCTTCATATATGGAGCCAGGATGTCACTGTTACAAAATGACCGTCATCTTCTATATAACCAAGCGGTGTCTGCACACACCTACATATGGCACCTAAGATATCACCACCCAGACACAGACTATCATTACCAATATAACCAGCAGGTGGCAGTCAACCTCAACACATGGAAATATCACCGCCAACCAACTTATTGATATAATCAGGTGGTAGCACACCCCTACAAATGGTATCTATGATATCACCACCCACTGATTGACTGTGATCTCCAATATAACCAGTAGGTGTCAGCACATCCCCTCACATGGCACCCAAGATATCACCACCCACTGATTGGCACCCGGGACTGTCATCTCCAATATAACCAGTAGGTGTCAGCACATCCCCTCACATGGCACCCGGGACATCACCACCCACTGACTGGAAAACATCTCCATTATAACCAGCAGGTGTCAGCACATCCCCTCACATGGCACCTGGGATATCACCACCCACTGACTGGGTAACATCTCCATTATAACCAGCAGGTGGCAGCATATCCCCTCACATGGCACCCGGGACACCCCCACCCACTGACGGAGTATCATCTCCATTATAACCAGCAGGTGGCAGCACATCCCCTCACATGGCACCCGGGACACCACCACCCACTGACTATCATCTCCAATATAACCAGCAGATAGCAGTCCCCCACCACAAACACAAACACATGACACCCAGGACATCACCACCCACTGACTGACTATCATCTCCATTATAACCAGCAGGTGGCAGCACATTCTTACATATGGTACCCAGGATATCACCATCCACTGACTGACTGTCATCTCCAATATAACCAGCAGGTGGCAGCACATCCCCACGCATGGCACCTGAGATATCACCACCCACTGACTGAATATTATCTCCATTATAACCAGCAGCTGGCAGCACATCCTCACACCAGGCACCCCTGATATTACCACCTACTGACTGACTGTCATCTTCAATATAAACAGCAGGTGGCAGCCCCCACACCACCACCACACATGGCAGGCTGTTACCATCAATCAACTGACCGTTATTTCAAATTTGACCAGCAGATGGCAGCACAGCCCCACAAATGATATGTATGGTGCCACCACCCACTGACTGACTGTCACTTACAGTATAACCAGCAGGTGGCAGCACACTTCCCACACATGGCACCCTGGACATCACCACCCACTGACTGACTGTTATCTCTAATAAAACCAGCAGGTGGCAGCACATCCCCATGCATGGCACCTGATATATCACCACCCACTGACTGACTACCATCTCCATTATAACCAACAGGTGGAATCACATCCTCACACAAGGCACCCCTGATATTACTGCCTACTGTCTAACTGTAATCTCAAATATGACCAGCAGGTGGCAGCACCCCAATCCCACACATAAGGCACCTAGGACATCACCACCCACTGATTGACTGTTATCTCCAATACAACCATAATATTAATCACCACCCTCTGACCGACCATCGTCTCCAAAATAACCAGCAGGTGGCAGTAAACCTCCACATATGGCCACTGGGATATCCCCA